AAAATAGTAAAAGGGTATTTTGGAAGGGTATTGTTGCTTGCCCAATAGTTATACCAAATAGGAAAACTCAGTATTCGGTACAAAGAACCAGAGAAGAAAAATGGGTGAAGAAGAGAAGCTAAATCCAAAAACCGGATTGGATTTGGAAGTAGAACTGTCAAACGAATCAATCAACCACAAGATGGAGGATACGAATCAACTGAAAGAACAATTTTCAACATCTTCTTCAAAGAATACAAATGCAAATATTCATACGGGGAAGTCTTGTAAAGGTTGCCTTTATTACTCGTCCCATTTCAAAGCCGATTCTCGAAACCCTCTTTGCGTTGGTCTCTCCCGTTCTCTTCCCAATGGTAACCCTATTTACCCTTGAATTTTTCTGGGTTTTTCCCGATTAATGAATAATTATTCTCCATGATTATATTTTTGTGATTAATAATTTATTATTTTGTGATTTTTCATTATTTTTGTGTGGAATTTTTTGATTGTGATGATGATATTTGATTTACTTGAATGTTGTATTTCCCCTATAGCTTACTTATATATATCTAGAAAAATATTATGCCTTGAGTGTTTTGGCTAGAATTTTTAATTTTCGAAATTCTGAATTAAAAAAAAAAAAAATTGATGGGAAGAGTTTTGTGGAAATTTTTTGTTTATTTTGGAACGGTTTGGGAGTGAATTTCTTTCATGTAAGGTTAAGATTGTATATCTGTGAATGCTAGTAGACCAGCATTTTCTCCTCTAGTATATGGTTCTTACTTTGAGAAAGAAAGAAAAGAAAAATCTCTTTTGTGTACCCAATAGATACAGGATACGTGGTCTTTATATATACTTTTTACCTGTCATATCTTGGATTTGCAGCTTTATATATGTTTCTTTACCTGCCGCATCTTGGATTTGCTTTTAGAATACGATAAGCTCTTTGCTCATAGGTTTCCATTTGGCTAAGTACAACTAGTTTGTTTTGAAGAGATAGAGGTCTTAAAAAGAACATGAAGATTAATAGTTTACTCAGTGCTCTCTGAGTTTTGTGGACTTGTGCATGATGTAACATATTTCAGAAGTGTAAGCATCAGATCATGCAGTTATCTGTGTAGTTTGCTCCATATGTAAAGCTGAATATTGATTTTCATAAAATAAATACCTTGGGTGATTACTGATTCCATGTTTGATGACTAGTACCGCAATATATTGTTGGAGAATCTGAGATGGAAGCTTCTAAAAAAGTTAGAAGCCTCAGAGATTTCAGATATGCTTGTGTTGGTTATTCCCTTTACACTGACCGGAAAAAGCAGGTAGCTGATGGACAAGAGATGCAAACAGAATTGCCAGTTTGTTTTGGCCTTGAGGTTAGCATCTCCCCATTCGTCCTTTCTGCATATGCTTTGAGTTTCTTTTTATTTGCCTCATAGGAAGTTTAAGATTATGGGCGTGTTCGGTAGAGATTAAAATCGGATTAAAATTAAAAAACTAGCCTTTATTGTTGACTTTTATTAGACGAGTAGGACCCAATAACTGCCATATTTTCAATTTTAATTGGATTTTAATCAGAAACAAACATGCTCTATAATAAATACTCGATCCTTACTTTTCCAGTTTCTTTGTCCTTCTCTGTTCAATCTAAAGAAACACAAACATTTCATTGAATGTCAATTTTTTGAACATTTTTTGACTACCACAAATCACAAGTAAATAGTATCTTTCAATCTCCATGTGTGCTCCACATGGATGGTGAATATCTAATGCAAGAAATGGCATTATTCTGGACATAAAACTCCAGTAGGTTTAATCCCATCCTGTTGAAGGTGCTATTTACCATGTGAAGTTTTCTGGTTTCAGCGTTTTCTCGCCTCCTCGTGTCTTCTTAATCCCATCTGTGATCTTTGTTGGCATCTTTGAGACTTTTGCTCAGGTTATTGTAGATCGAAGTGCTCTTGCTCCTGCTCCTGCTCCTACTCCTACTCCTACTCCTACTCATAATAGAGAAGGTAAATGTCCTTTTCTTTTCTTTCTAATGTAGATTGTTTACTATGTGCAATTGGTATGTGGGATTTAATGATTTATGTATGAGCAGTAGATTTGTTATAGATTTCCAAATGAAGATTTTGCACCATTCTATGATCTAGTCGTTGAAGTAGCCAGGTTCAAGTTATATATGTTTCGAACTAGGTGTTAGTATTGTTAATGGCTTCGCATCTGTTCGCGGAATATTTTTTGTGCTTGAAGCAGTAATGAATTTTCATTTTTAATCTCATAGGAGTTCTTTTATTATATCTAAACTCCTCCAGTCAACCTGGCATCCTTGATCCAATGAGTAACATCACTGCAAATGGACAAACACAGATATTTGCTCCAATTTGAAAAAATCACTTCGCTTTCTACTTTCCCTTTTTCTTCTATATTTTAAGAGACTTCAGATAATTAAAATAAAATAATTACATAAAATAGAAGAGAGATAAATCTTGGTGAATAAAATAAATGCCATTTTCGGGGCCTTTTTGAATTAGAATTTAAGTCCAGCTTCCTTGTGGTGAACTGCTTGAGCTTGATCATTAAGATGGCTCATTGTTGGCTTTCGTAACCTTCAGGTTCTATACATCTTTGCATATACTT